AGGATGTAGGGTTTAGGGAGTTTGGGGATTGGTTGTGGCTTCCTAACTAGCTCGATCAGGGACTTGGGGTTTATGGTTAATGGCGCAGGTACGGACGACACGCAGATAATATCTTCAGCTAGCTATTCAGACCTCTCTACCTGAATCCCAAACTGAATCGGCCAACACATACCAACACCTAAAGACCTGCGAAGCCTCACCCGTCAAGCTCAAACCAGCGACCCTTTTTCAAAGCCCTACTGCGGGTCGGGCTTTTGGATATGGCGGCCGTTGCCTGAAACAAAACCAAAGTAGGAACCACAATGCCTATTGCAGGTAACGCCTAAGCCTCCAGCTTCAACCAGCAACTAGCAAGGAGCCTAACACCCGAAATTCAAAACCGCAGACCTCTCCCCCCATTTCCGAATATTCGAAAGCTGTGGCCTAAATTCTGAACCCCCCCATCCCCCCAACAACAAACAAACAAACTAACAAACAAACAAAGCAACAACCTCATACATTCGGCCTGTTCCACGAGCTCCATCTTGCCCTGGAAGTCTCCGATCCTGGGCAGATGGGGCGTTGAGGAGTTCCTTCGAGTGTAAGTATATCAAGGAACCTTGAGGACTAGTAAAAGCCTTTATAGCGTATACAGGCTTGCCTAGGGGCTCTCATGCGGGTGTTGAGGTCCTAATTGGGGTTCACGGTTCTAGAGCGTCATGATTAGGTACAGAGGATTCAGGCACATCGGACACTCAAGAGCTTAGGTTTAAGGCAGAGATAGCGGGCGGGCTAAACCTCTTCGAAACTCGGTATCGTATCCGGTATCGCCCTCAAACTTAGAAGCAAAGCTGTCCCCAGGGCATGCTGGAGGCGCAAGCAACGAGGAGTCGGCCAACATGCGGTTAGGCATACAGGCTGAGGGTTCAGGGTTTAAGGTCTAGGGCCCGATCTTTAAGGCTTGGAGCCTACAAGGGTTGAGGGCTTGAAGGGTAATGTAGGGGCCTAATTAGTTACCAATACTATTTTGGGGTTCCTTGTTATACTTTATAGTAATCATGGCCCCCCAAAAGCCTATTCCAATTATTAAAGTCCCTACACCCTAAACCCTATTCCAATTGTTAAAGTCCCTATATTAACCCCTGCTTCTGCAAGCCGAGCTGCAGGGTCTCGACTCGCAGCTCCGGCTGCCTCCAACCGGGCCGTGGTGCATCAAGCCCTAGGCCCTAAACCCTAAACCCTAAACCCTAGACCCCAAACCCTAAACCCTAAACCCTAAACCCTAGACCCTAAACCCTAGACCCCAAACCCTAAAACCCCAAACCCACAATTTTTGTAGGTTCTTATTGTAAGCCCTAATATGGGATTTATAGGGACCCTACAAAAAAGTAGGTTTGGGGTTCTTAAGGTAGACCCTAAACCCTAAACACTGCACTGAAGACTTTCTTTTCGGGCCTATAGGGTTTAGGGTTTTGGGGTTTAGGCGGTTCAGGGTTTTGGGTTGTAGGTTCAAGCACTGAAGACTTGTTTTTTAGTGTCTAGGGTTGAGGCGGTTTAGGGTTTAGGGTGGTAGGGTGAAACTTAATGACTGCAAGAGGTTATCGAAGTAGAGTTCGCCGATATTTGCACCGTGCAAAGAAAAGTCACTGATACCGTCCTCTGCAAAGTGGGCTTGCCGACAATAGGGGACCCTAATATATAGTACCCGAAGTAGTGGGATCCTCATGATAAGGACCCCAAAATAAGGTATCCCAATATTTTCGGAAACTCCCAAATCTGCCTCGTTCAAGGCTACAAATTTAAGCTCGTTGGTGCTTTTGCTTCATGTAAGTCTGAACCCAACCACCTTAGCCCGTTGACGCTTGGAAGACTTTGGCGGCCTGAAGCTTCAAAGCCCAAGAAATAGGACTGGAACTAAGGACACCCTCCTCTACCCTTTTGGGCCCCTTCGGGCCTAATCTTACCCCATAACCCCACACACAATCTCCTTCCCAGAAGCAGGATTTCCCCCAAAAACCCTTTTGGATCCCTCTTGGGGCCCTTAAACCTAAAAACCCTTTTGGATCCCTCTTGGGGCCTAATCTTCAACTCCCGGACGGTCTTTGCCACGTGAGCCGCCCCCTGGTCTGGAAGGTCATCGCGGTCGACCTCGGAAATTCAACGAACAGGATCTTAAACAGGGATCCTTATAATTTTGGGGGGTCGTTAGAATAAGGATCCTACTGTTTAGGAATCCTTATATTTTGGGGGGTCGTTAGACTAAGGCTCCTACTTTTTAGGGTACTATGTAGGGGATTCTTTCGGTCTCCGAACTTTTGCTGAGGCTTTGTGTCGGGCCTTGGCCTTACAGGGTGCTCCATGGTTCTGTGGGGTTCTATGGGATTGTATCAGTGTTTTGATGGCTATGTTCAGCCGCACACCGTAAACTCCTGAAGCTGCAGAAAGCCACCCTTTAAAAGGGTTTCGGGTTTCAGGGTTTAAGTTTTAGGGCCCCGGGAGGGGTACAAGACCCAAACCCTACAGACCAACCCCTTACACTACATACCAATCAACCATTCACCCCAAAAACCCTCCGGCAACAGCCCTAAAGCCCCTTTCCACAAAAGCCCTGAGGCCCTAAAGCCTATAAACCCCTATAAACCAATAGAAAGCCCTGTAAAACCCCACAAGCCCCTGTAAAGCCCAATAAAACCCTAGAAGAAGCCCCATAAAACCCTACAGTATTGAAGCCCCTATAAATTAGCCCTAAAGCCTTCAAGCCCTATAAAGCCCTATTAAAGCCCTGTAAAACCCTATAGAAAAGAGGTCCCCCCGCCATGGTCAGCACGATGTAGTCGACCTTCCATCGGGTCACAGCCTCGGCGACCTTCCGAAAGCCATGCTTCCCGCGCTTCGGGCCGTCGGCTTGAGTTTGGAGTTTAGGGCTTTAGGGTTGTTAGGGTGTTTAGGGTTTTCAGGGTTTTCAGGGCTTTAGGGTTTCAGGTTTTAGGGTTTTAGGGTTTTCAGCGTTTTAGGGTTTTTACGGCTCAGGGTTTAGGACGTCGGGGTCCTCTAAGAAATCTATAGGGCTTAAGGGTTCAGGTGTCCTGTAAGGAATCTATAGGGGTTGCGCAAGGGTTTAAGGCTTCAGGGTTCAGGGTTTACGATTCTGGGTGTGCTGGGGTCAGGGTTCGGGGTGCATTCGATGGGCTTGTTAATTTTTACAGGGTGCGGCAAGCTTTGTATACGGTATGTGGCTTACCATAGAATGTACAAAAGGTCTAATTTGACTGAATCGATGCATATGGGGTTATATAGGGTACAAGATCGTTGATGCAGAACAAAACAGGTTGGAGTTGGTTTCACGCGGGGTCCGAAGCTTCTTTGCACAGCCCTTACAATGGGCTTTGCGCGTGTTTCGAGCGCTTTGCTTTGCTATGGGAGAGGGGGTAGCTAAAACGGACATCTACATCCCCAGTTTCTAACATGCACTTGGGAAGTAGATCCCAGATTTCAAGTGCCAAGTACCGCTAAAGCCTAACTTACACCATCAGAAGTCCTTGCAGCGATTATATAGCCTATGTAACCTTCTTCACAACCCGCATGGACCTTAGTAAACCCCTCTTAACACCCAGCGGTCGAAGCCCGATCATACCCCTTCGATTTTCTTTTCAAGCCCTACCAAAGCCGCTTTCACCCTAAGGCTCAGAAGAATTAGGTTTAGGGTTTAGGGCTTGGGGCTTAGGGTTTAGGATCTATAGGGTTGAGAGTTCGGGGACTAGTCATCGTAATCCTAACTATAACAATAGCAGTAACCGAAATTCGATAAACACAACAAGCACCAGTGGCCTTCTCCGGCTCATCCGGATCTGGAGGTGGTGGCGTCCGAGAAGTGGCCTCGGAAGGTCTTTGAAAAACGGCCGCGGGGTTTAAGGAGGTTTAGAGGCTAGTATGTAGTATGTATCGCTCAGGTTTGAGGAGTGTAATATGGTGTAAGGGGAAACGGCGTCAGCCTTCAGAATTAGAAGTGTAGTGCAGGGCTTTAATGCTGACCAGGCCAGATGTTCACGGATTCGTCTTGTAGAGCCCTGATGAGTACACCCCCTCCTGCTTATAGGGTTATGGTAGGGATACTGATGCTCTTTATAAATCAAGGGGTTCTTTACTCAGGGTTTTGGTGGTTCTTCCGAGGTGGAGCGGTTTGGAGCTCTTGCTTGTGACTATATACAGGGCGGCAGAGCTTAGCTGGGATCCCCGATGCCTTCTTAACTACGGGGTACTGGGCTCCGTGGAGCTCAAAACTATCAATACTGTAGCGGATCGAGCAGTATTGAAGCAATTGGGTATTGATTCGAGTTGTGTTCCCGATCGCATCGCCGTACCATTGCACTCCGAATAGACCAAGGTGAGTACGATTTGTAGATGAGTCCGCTATACCGACTGAGCCAATAGCCACCGAGCAAAAGCGACAGCCGCGCGTGCAGGTGTCGCCCATGATCATGACCTTGAAGGGCTTTGGGATGCCTTAATAATTAGAATGGGGTTTTGGGGGCTCCTTATCATTATGATTGTAGTATAATATACCCCCCAAATCCTATCCTAATTATTAAGGCCCCTATATTGAAGGTTTGGGGTGCCTTTTCAGGGGCATCTGGGCCGTGGGACCTCTCGGATGAGAGCTGTGGGTTCACGAACGGAATTCCGAAGCTGAAGTGCTTTTAGTTATAGGGCTGAAGAGGAGCGCAACAAGCCCCGAAACTGAACCCGAGGCTCTGGTTTGAAACGCCAGTCCTGCATTCACTTCGGACTTCTGGGTTTAGGAGAGAAGACTTTAACCGAAAAGACTTGGAAAGACTCCACGTCATGTACTAGCCTACATTGCGACTACCCCAAACCTATTTACCGGACCACTGGTGAATTTGACGACTTTGGACATTCCCCGTGCTACTGAAGATGGAATCTACACATGAGCTTTTCATACAGCTACATCGGTAGAAGTGGGGGTGAACATGCGCAGCGCCTTCCGCCGTTAAGAGGCGCCACCACGGGCCAGAAGGCACGGCTTGAGCTTATCACAAAATTGAGACCACTGACGAAGACGATGCAAAGATGCAAAGCAATGTCAGAAACACAGCCACCGAGTGCCACTGATACTCCTGCCCCTCCTCCTCGTGCGACTTCTACTACTCCTACCTACGACGACGACCACCACGAAAAAACGCCAACGACGACAAACGTCGAGCACCTGAACCCTTCTGCCTCCCTCAGAGTTTAGGACGTCGTGGGCACGGGGGCACGGGGTTTTACAAACCGCAGTCTCCCGCTGATGGTGCTGTGTCTGCACAAGAACTGAAGCGCTGCACCAACTCTGCCCAACGATGCCTGCACCATAACTGGCTAGCCCACTAGAAATTGCAAAACAGAACAATACACCAACTTGCCGCCAGAGATGCGAAAGGAGCAGGCAAGACTTGAAAGATTAAATGCTGACACCATTAAACCCTAAACCTTAGCTACCTCTGCATAAGCTGCTCGAAAGCCGATGCCCAGACCCAAAAAAGCCATCCTTGAGGCCCCGGCGGTGGCAGTCCCTCCCGACCAGCACCTCAGAAACTGCCACTAGATACATAGCCTATGCGATTTAGGGTTTAGGGCCGGGTTCAGGGATTTAGCCTAGCATACAAGTTGGGAGAGTGGACAACATTGGGTTGAAGAGCACGCAAGTGCAGGTATGGTGAGCCAAGCAGCAAACTTCTGTTGACTAGACCTCCCCGAGACATGCAACAAGCAGGCATGGGCCAGGCCAGGAAAAAGGGGAGACCAAAACTCCCATTCGCATGACTTTGTGCAATCGACCACTGGAACTCCAGACCGTTCTCTTGCTTGAGCGGGGAAAACCCTGAACCTTAAAACAGTAGAAAAGCATCCTGCAATTATACCGGAGTGCTGGGTTGGGTTTGAAGAATTCAAAGGCTTGAAAGGATTACGGTTCAGAGGATAGCCTTTGGCGGTCTCGGTTTAATATGGCAGTCCTGATAACTGGCATACGGCTTTGGGGTGTAGCATGTTTAGCCAGGGGGTGTAAGGGCACATACATACATGTACATATATATATATATATGTGTGTATGAGTGTGTGTATGTAGAGTACACGGAGTAGCAATCTGCTATTCAGACATCCATTAAATCTTCGAGCCCAGGCACTCGCCCGCATTGGGACATCGCGCTTCTTGACAGACCTGGTGCGGAAAAGAGCTTTCATCAACATATAGGACGTTTGATCAGCCAAGCCCGAAGGGGCCCGAACCAACCATTGTATTTCCTGCTGCTGCTGCTGCTGCTGCTGCTGCTGCCAAACTAACACTCCTCCTCCTCCTCCTCCTCCTCCTCCTCCTCCCCTCGCAGCCCCCCAGGGGTCAACAAGGAGCAGCGGGGCCCAGGCTGTCGCCAGTCCTGTCTCCTTGATCGTGGCTCGGACATCCTTGTACCTCTTCGGAAAGCTTAGGAGGGTCGAAGGGGAAAGTAGGGTTTAGGGTGGTAGGGGTTTAGGGTTTAGGAGGGTCCAGGGGAAAGGGGCTGTGTTGTGTGAGATCACCATGGACTATGGGTGGTAGATTTAAGACTTCAACTGATGCTGAAGGACAATTTTGTTTGGCTGGCTAGAGCTATAATTTCTGGCATTGCATCCACCCGCAAATCGCACCGTACAGCTCCATCCGGAGCTTCATCTTCGGCAACAGTTACATGTAAGGCCCGTATAGACTGCCGTTCCAAACCAAACAAGCACCCCCGTGGTCGCTGAGTTTCCTGAGTACATGCTGAACTTTCGACCAGCCAAGCGCAGCTGAGGATAATATTTGTGCCATCCCTGCTACAGAGCAGAAACAGCCGTTTTTGGCACAGAACTGCGCTGAACAAACAGCCGAAGCTGCCGGGACGGGTCTAATCTAGTGACACCGATATTCTGCATGCGTACTGTGTACTGAATACAACACACTGGCCGCCCGCAAACCATACGCAATGAACCCGGTCTGGCTTACAACTCCGACCTCCCAAACGCAAAGATCCCCACAAGCTCAATTTCGTGAACTTCCGATCGAACAAGAACCTCCGATCCAAGAAGATCTCGAGGCAATGCATCACCCGGAGCCCTGCTCGGTGGACCCTGAAGTCTTTTGCCGGGCACCTCTGGCCCCCCTCTGGCGTGAGGTTGGGGTTCACCATCTTCAGCCTCGTTTGAAGAGGACTTCCATTGGTTTCCGGGGTGTATCGTTCGGGATTCAGGGTTTGCTTCTGACAGTTTGGGGCGCTTCAGCCCGAGATGCTCGACGACTCTGCGCCTGCTTGAAGCAACGAGGGACTTAGCACGCAGCTTCTCAAGTAAGCTGGAGATACAGTAGCCGCAGTCAGCATAGGAGTACGGATGGCGTAATACCTGCAGATACGGGTTCTCCAAGGCCCCAAAACCCTAAACCCCGCACTTGCGTCATAAATCACACCCAGTAGACCCTCATGCCAAAACTCTGAAGCTCATGCAGAGCCTTGTGTGGACTCTACAGAACTTACTTTTGTCTGGTACATGCCTCCCAAAAAACCGTCAGGTCAAATGTGGGTTCCGCAGAAGTTTTAAAACTTCAAAGACAAAACCCAAGTGCCCGAAAGCCGGCAAACGGGCTTAACAATTGAACCCCCATCTACAACAGAACCCTCCAGCGCGAATCCACTCCTCAAACATTAAAAAAAATCGCATCATGTGAGGTCTAGGTTTGGCTCTGAATCTCAGGGTTTAGGTCTGTAGGTCTCGGCTTTGGATGGTGGCACGGGACATGGAGGAGAAACAAAGGACCCTGATATCGACCCCAATACAACACCTTTGGAATAGGATCCCGACTTGTCTGAATTCCAGATGGGTAGTTTTTCGCATTGACGGTGCCCTTTTAGGTCCCAAATGTACGGCACCCTTATAAAAGGGACCCTAAAAAAGACCCTAATTTCGAGAACTACCCATATGAGGATTGAGCACTTGGAGGCTTGTCTCGCCCCGACATTTGGGTCAAACCCTATTGATGGGCACCGTAATATTGCGAAACCGCTGAGTTAGCAATGCAGGGGCCTCAACAATTAGAATAGGGTTTTGGGGGGTTCGCTATTATAAATATAGTACATTACACCCCCCAAATCCTATTCTAATTCTTCAGGCCCCTATATTACCCTGCTGCACTCCTGAACCCAAGAACCTTACGCCTGTAAACCTTGAAGACCTAAATCTTCTCAGCATGCGAAGGAACGCCGAAAGCCACAAGTACCCCATACTGAACTTGGGACCCTAGAAACATTGCAATGTTAGCTGTTTCTTATGGATTATAGCGTTGAGGGTGTAGGGGTATAGTAACTCAAAAATTGAGAAATATTTCTGGTCCCAGGAGCCAGGGCGGCTTTCGGACCGCTGGCGCTCGTTTCACTGAGCTGCCTTGGAGAGAGGCGGTGCCGCCTGAGCAAAAAAACTTACGTGCCGCTTTTAAGGGCTTCCTATAAGGGATGTATGGGATTCTACAATACTTGGAAGTTCGGTTAAGCCCTCCTGATATGGGTTTTAAGTGTAAATAGTTACTTTACTGGTAATCCCACTTTGCAACTGGCCATGAACCTCCGAGTATGGGCTTGGGGTTTGCTTAAAGGCTTGTAAGCTTTGGTGGTGTAGGCGTCCATAGGTATTGTTTTGGTCAAGGAGTTATATAAGGTCTACGGGGATTTGTAAGGGGTTTCAAGGTTTTCCACGACTTTCAAGGCTTCCTAGCGGTTTTGCGTCTCTAATGAGCTAGAGCGGCTCACCTATACCCTAAACCCGAAACCCTGGGTTTTTTTAGGGTTGCGAGTCCACCATTCCGTGGCTTCGAGCATGGAGAGTTTCGAAAAGTTCGGGGTTTAGCGTATGTGGCCTTCAAAGGCACAGCGGAGGGTTGGGGCGTAAGGGTGTGCGACTTCACGAGTTGTGCCAAAACAGGCGCAAGGTTTAATTACAGAGTTCAGGGTTTAGGGTTTTCGATATTAGTGGTCGAGACCGAGCAACTTGTAGCTGAAAGCCATAAGCCGGAACCCTCATTTTTTTGCGGATTGGGTTTAGCTTTAGGTTTAGACTTCCGGGATTAACATACTCGCAAAATCGACATCACCTGGCTTACTGGCCGCACCTTGCGGTGCAGTCTGAGATCTGGGCTCGGGAGTCATAGTTCCCTCGCCCTCCAGCGTCACCACTTGCCGTCTTTGCGAAGTGTCTGGGGAATGCATTTGGCTCACTGTCACACATGGCGATCACGTCTCGGCGAAGAGAAGACACTGAAGCTGGGGCCGGGGAAGGAGCAACGTCCACGTGCACTCCGAAGATGATGCCTGCTGGAACCCTATCCACGACTTGGCCCATGAGCTGGACAGGGAACATCTTTGCCATCTCTGTGCGTGTGTGGTTCCGTCTGAGCCAAGAGTGTGGCGTGAGCGCAGTTCCTGAGCCCGGACAGAAAGATGTCTGGAAGGTGCTTCCCTGACTGAGAACCAACGTTGCCATGTTCAACGGCGCAAGGGCACAGAGTTTCTTGGTGAGCAGGCTGCCAATAAGTGGAAGCAGAGACTGAACTAGTTTCCCTATCTAAGCTATTTAACAGGAGCCCAGTAAAGCCTACGGTCTCAGCTGACGGAACCCTGCAGTAGCCCCTCCAAAAACCCTGTACAGTCACCCTCGTAGTGGCCCTTAATCAAACCCCTATAGTAGCCCTTGCTAAACCCCGAACCTAAAACCCTGAACCCGAAACCCTTAAACCCTGAGCCCTTGCTAGCAACCTTTGGCCAAAGAGCTTGGCGGCATGAAATCCGCCAGCGTGAGGCCATCCTCAGAACGAACTCTCAGGAGTTTGCCTCTTTTCGAGGGGTCTCGGATTTTGGGATTGATTTAGGGTTTGGGGGTTGAGGGTTCAGGATATAGAGTGTGTTGTTCTTTCGTGAAGTTTTATCGTTTTGGGGTACAGGGTTTCGGGGCTTAGGGTGGAGTTTCTTGCGTTCGTGCTTCGTTTGGTCTTCAGGGCATCTTCAAAATCCAAACCCCAAGCCCTAGTTGAATAGTAAGAGTTTACGGACATATTCTACGGAAACTGCAGTTATTGCAGGGACCGTCAGGGGTCACATTACCAAATATTCCGAGCCTCAAGTAAGGTGCTCTAGGGCCTTCATTTCGATTAGGGGGGAGTCTTCCGACCTCCATATTTCTAAGGTTTCAGCACACATTTTGCCTCGATCATACCAAGGACTATACGGGAAACATGTCCTCAGACAAGGCAGGATAAAGGTAGGTAGGATCACCGATCCCTTGTCTAAGAATCTCTTATTTGGGACTGCCCTGGGGCAGGTTTTACGCGCAAACTATACCCTAAACCCGCAATCCAAGTACTTAAAGCGCCGCCCAGGTAAGCTGCCTTTAAATCTCTAAACCCTAAGCCCAACCCAACACCCCAAACACTAAACCCGAAGGAGCCCGAAAACCTAAACCCCTGAAATATCCTGAAACATCCTGACTTAAATCTCTAAACCCCCACCAAAAACACCCAAAACCCAAAGCCCTGAAAGCCCTGAAAAGTCCTCAAATTCTCAAAGCTCAGAACCCGGGTCCTGTGGCAGCCGCCCGCTCGTAGCCTGCAAGGGGCTGGGTGCCGAAGTTGTCGGCTTTAGGGTGTCTTAAGGGGGTTTAACTGTAGGGTTTAGGGTTTCGGCCTTGGGGTTTTTAAGGGGTTTGCTCTATAGGGGCGTTAGTGATTGGAAATATGAAGACCCACACAAATAAAACCCCAAACCGTGGAAAACGAACCCCAAAAGGCTAACCCTCGACCAAGGGCCCGGACCCTTGACTGTAAAGAATCCCCCGAGACTGAGGCCCCCGGGCCTTTTGTGGGGACTTGCTGAGTTCCCTGTTCCAGAAATCCGGGACCTGTGAATCATGGTGGCAGTGCTATATGTATGTATCCGTCTTCTACCTATGCATGTAGTCGGTATCTATATCTATGTCTATTTCCCTCTCTCTCTCTATATATATATATACGTAGTCATATGTATGTATGTATGTATGTATGTATGTATGTATGTATGTATGTATGTATGTATGTATATGCGTACGCATGTATAACTTGACTAGCTTTTACACCCAGGAAACTTCAAGGTAGTCTATTCGTCTACGCCGAATCCTTGATCTTACATCCTGAGTCCTAAAGAGAACAGCCAACTCCGGAAAGTCGGAACATTGCTGAATGAGACGAAAGACCTTTGACATCTGGGCAGGGAAGCAATGATGTTCCCACTTTGTGGCACTTCCCGAAACTTGGTATATTGCCCCTCCTCGAAGACATTACTCAGGATCACTGAACAGGATTGCAGAACAACCGTGGAGTGTTATCAAAAATGCTTTCGGGCTTACTGTGCTGCGTCGGCCAGAAACAAAACTGGCACACTACTGCTAGAAATAGATCAGATAGCAATATGGGATATCTAAACACATAGCAGGAGTACCACCACTAGCGAGGTGAAGTGTTGTTGCGAGACTGGAACCCAGTCCCCGTTCCCCCGGCTCGCTCAGCCTGCCGAGCGGCGGTGGCTGCGGCAGGAAGCCTGTCATTATAAAAAAAAAGATGCATTACAGCAGATTAATGATTGGAATACGACGTTGGGTGTACATTATTATCGAAGTTACAGGGACTAATAAAATAATGACTGAGGCTTTCGTACAGACCCCATGTTGGGGTTTTCTCCCAGTGCAAGGTTGCGCAACAGGGCCTTAGGTTGAAGGTCAGTGTTAGGATTTTGGGTTTGCTTGAAAGCTGCCGGGGCTTAGGTAGAAAGCTTCAAGCGGAGGTCACAGCATGTTGAATGCTGATACAGTTGCATGCTGTGCAGGCTTCTTGAACTGAGGTGGTTACGGCCACAAACTAAAGCAGTTTAAGTTGTATAAGCTGAGTAATCCACACACATGCAGTATGCTTCAGCACCAATCGGCAACATGAAATTAGAAGTCCGGTGATGCTTGAACGCGGGCAGACTCCCCCGAGAGCGCGCAGGGCCATCGCCACAAACAGCAAAAATCAAGAAACGAACGTGCGCGGAAAGATAGTCAAAGGCTTGGGCTTTCAGGGTTAGGTCGACGGCTCCCCATGCGGATTCCTCTGCTGCCGATGCTGTCTGCTTGTATGGATTTAAGAACAGGCTTTAGGGTTTAACTTTTGCCGTGTGAGATCTCGATATCTGTGACATCAACGACAAAGCTGGTCAGCTCTCCGTCCTGAAACCCGAAGCCCACCACATAAGTGCATAAACTAGTCGAAAACCTACTCGCGATGTGAAGGCCCTGCGCCTCAGCAGTGATGCTGAGGTTTGTAGGTTTGCTCAATACTCAACCTTAATACCGTCTGAAAAACACCCTGCTCATGAAGCCTGCTACTGTCCTTTTCATCTGTCGGACCCCGTGCCTCAAGCGCCAAATGGCTGACACCGAACGTGACTGCAGCATCTGCATGGAAAACACGGCACCTCTAGGGTTCAGGGCTTGGGGTGGAGGCGCAGAAGAGGGTTGCTACAACATGCGGGATTTCGTACAACGAGAAGGGCATCCGGCGGCATGTATCACGGAAAGTTATAAAGTGTCCTCAATTAACCTGCAAGGCTTCACAGGGGCAAAACAACAGCGTCTGTCATGCAAGAAGCCTTCATGATGCTTGCTATGCAAATTATCGGAATGCTTTTTGCTACTATTGGTGTCGGCGCCGGCGCCTATGGCACGTGTATTGGGTAGGAACGTGGTGCGTCAAGTCTTTACATGTTTGGGAACCCTTCGGAGAAAGAACCATTGAACGAGCCGACTGAGGCTACACGTATCCGGCTGGGTCAAGACCATGTGCACAAGTGTCAGAGCTTCTACACTTACGTACATGGCGTACCCTCAACCCTAACGCGAGAAACACCTACCAAATAGTAGAGAAACGCTCTACTAATTAGTGCAACCTACACTGGTTGGTCTTTGCAAGCACTGGCCCCAAACAGGCAGAACCCTAAACCCTATAAACCCAAGCCCCCCCAACCTGACCCCTAAGTCGTAATGCCCGAAGCCTCAATCCCTAACCCAAGCCCCTGACAACCGGGGCCCCTAAATCCCTGAACCAAAGCCCATAAAACCTAAACCCTGAACCAAGCTGAGCCCCCTGCTCCCTCGGCAAAGCGAGGGAAAGCCACAAAGAGGACAGCTTTAGAGCCACCAAAGAAAACAAACTGCAGGGGGTAGGTAGGGTACAAATTTCTGGGCTTAGCGCTTTAGCAGCTGAAGCAATTATACTATACCCATACAGCAGAGTTTGGGGTTCAAAGTTAAGGTACCCTGAATTACCCTGACGTCAAGGTCAACTGTAAACGCATCTACGGTACGCATAGCACGCATGTGTGAATGTATGCTTGGTACCGACCTAGGTCACAAGGCAAGCAATGCCCGGGCACATATAATTATGTAAGTATATGTAAATACAGATATGTACACATCTATCGATCTATCTATCTACCCATCTATCTATGCATCTATGTATCTCTTTGTTGTTGCACTATGTATATAGTTTTGTGTAGTCGCTTATGCATATAACGATACAGATACACAAACAAGTTCATAACCGTATAGACATAACACAACATAACATAACATACCATACCATAACATAACATAACATAACATAACATAACATAGTACAGTTACACAAGGAGCTACAAAGGTTATGCTGACGCAACACAAAAGGCACTTGTGCTTGGGTTTCGCATCCAATCCTCTGTAAATGGACTCCTTGCTTGGCTCCGCTTGTCACCACTAGAGCTTTTTCGAAACATATGCACGCATGATCAATGCTAGGGCCAAGCCCCGTGCAGGGTAAAAGGCCTGCTTGTGGGTGTGTTCGATAAGAGTCGGGATTTTGGAGTATGTAGGGTTTTGGGATTAGACGCTAGGGCTTGCTTAGAAATTGAAACTTGGGATTGCAAAATCCACCGCACACTCATGGAAACCCCATGGCGGAGCAATGCCATGATGATTATTTGGAATTTGGTATTCAACTATCCCATTGTTCGAAACGGGATCGTTATGCGCAATTTCCTACTATGAACAATATAATATAAATAAATAAATAAATAAATAAATAAATAAATATATATATATATATATATCACGGCTTCATGCTGTCTGAACTCCCCGGGTTCCTCTCGACTCTACAGGCTCTTGTATTAGTGCTTGGCGAAGCGAATTGCACCTGGAAATATACCCGAGCATCAAGAAGGCGGAAGTATTGCTCGGCGATGCTTTACGATCATACCGGTATCATGGCGCACAGCAAAAGCGTGAGTCCTTTATGGCAACCTACTCCAACACATTAAGGGTTGAGGCGTGATATTTCCAGAATATACTTGTCTTATAACCCTTGTTTGTGTCATTTTTACATACTTCCTCAATCACCTAAGACTCCGGCTTCAATCTGCCACCCCGTTTGATACCATCATTAACCCATACAGACCTATAAAACAAAGCTGAACCTGTCACGTAATCCCAACCACTTTTCGAGCCATGAACAAACTACAAGCCCACTGACACCCTGGTGAGCACTCAGAAAGACCCCTGCTGTTATTTCGGTGCATTTTGATCAATGCTCATTGCGGCTGCAAAGAGCGAGGCAGCTCCGATCAGCGGCCATTAGAATTGAAGCTTAAGGTTTATACGAGGTAACCTTATCGCAACATGATTCTGAAGCTTTTATGAGCGCTACATAGACTCTAGACAGCGGTTGCTAGGAGTTTACCTTATCACTCTCACTCTCACTCTCACTCGCACTCTCACTCACTCGCTCACTCTTACTCACTCACGCACTCACTCACCCATGCACCCTCACCCACTAACCCACCCACGCACGCACCCACTCACTCACTCACTCACTCACAACCCCAAGCCCCAGACTGGACCCAAAAACCTAAACCGTTTTGAGCTCAGTGTCTAGGGTATAAAAGTTTCTGATTCAAGGCTTTGTTGGCGTTGACGGGTTTCTCGCGCTTGAGAACGAAACTGCATGATCTTTCCAAAGACCTTAACACCTGTGCTTTCCTGTACTAGGGTTTCTAGGTGAGACATGATTGACAGGTTTCCCAGAGCCTCTGTGGCGTTTTGCAAGGTATGATATAAACCTTTCCCCAGCGAGGATTTCAGAGTAGGATACGTTTCTGCCTGGATTGAAAAACTCTCAATCCGAAACCAGAAGCATTACGGGCTTGGAACCTCCGTTAAACAACCTACAAACCTTAAAACCGTCAAAAGCCCTGCAGGCCCCACCACAAAGCCCAAAATCCCGGGACCCCAAAGAACCCGACTTCCTCAACCCAACCCTAAACCCTCTAACCCTACAAACTCCCAGGCACCTCGAAAGAAGCTGTTTAACAAGTATAAATTCCTCCAAGCCCTTTAAACTTAAACGCTCAAAGGGTTACTTCGGGATGAGGGTTTAGGCGATTCAGGGTTTCGGCCATTGAAAGCAAGGAACTCAGGGGTTTTGGGTTTAGGGTTTTAAGGTTCAAGGGCTTGTATCCCAAATCCTCAGCCCGATACCTTGAAACCCTTGAAACCCCCAACCTCCAAATCCCTCAGCCCCCAAGCGTTTCGGGGCTTTAGGAGGGACCCTTAATCGGGACCCTTGTAGGTTACTGGGGTTAATATGGAGAGGCTATATAAGGGGTTTTTAAGGACTATACAATGGTTCTTTAAGGTAATGGGATTAAGGGTCCCCATTAGGGGTCTCTCCTAAAGTCCTTAGACTCAAGCGCCTAAACCCTGACCCGCACACCCCTAAGCATCCTAAACTTCCACCCTCAAGCTGCATGCATGCAGGTAGTACCTGCTCTGGGGTCGACTGTCAGAACACTACTACTGATACAGAACTTCATAGCAACAATACTAATGTTGGTCATAACACTAATGCAAGTAAACATACTAATCATAATCATAATACTAATCATGATACTAATAACAGTAAAAGTAAAGTACTAGTACTGTTATGAGTATCATTATTCTTATCATTAAATGATAATATTCAAGGCTCCTGCGTCAATCCTTTTTGTGGCCTACACCGGTCTGCCTCGGCTGCCAGAGCCCTGAGCCCTCAGCCGACGAGGCACGCGTTAAAAGTTCGTGCGCCGGCGGGGCTCTGCTGAGAGGATCCGAGGACTGCATGAGGACTTATGGTGTAGCAAGTGAGTCTTGGTCGCCAGGGTATGTGTTATATGATTACTATTGATAACTAAAAATATCGTATTGATAAATCTAAGCATTCGCATTAATTTTTTAGTTACCAACCGAAAGATCTGCACGTCACCCAAATCGAAGCCTATACTCGATCCCGGATCGTCCAAGCAACTGCCGTTGCGCGGGTGGCTGAGCCGATTTAGCCAGGAAAGTGATGGAAATCAGCTGAACATCAACACATGAACCCTAAATCCTAAACCCTAAATCCTAAACCCTAAACCCTGATCCCTAAACCCTAAACCGTTCACATGATGCGGCCGTGCCAAAACCACACCGTTGTGATGCGCACTCACTGCTATTATTGCCAGAGTCGAGCTCCGTTTTTCATTCCCCCCAGGCTTTAGGGTAGTTATAGGCGGGGTTATAAGTAGGGTATCTTTATTTATGACTCCTATTAGCGGGCTTATATACCCACTTAGAACTACCCATGAACCTCGAAGCATGCAACCCCTCGAGAGAGGATCCCGTGCATCTTTGGGCTTAGACTTTGGGAACAACACGTGGGCATCGTTTTTCGGCGGTGTTAGCTTTGCAGGAAATCGTCCTAGTGTTTCCAATTTGTTTCATATCAAGTCAGGAACTAGTCCTAGAGTTTGTAATCAGTTTCATATAGAGCCATGCAATGCGCGAGGAAAGCCCTTTGCAGTTCCCTTGACCGCTAGATCCAGTCGTCGCCTGTCTTGGAGTGAAGGGAACCCACTGCTGGCGAGAGCTTTGGGGTTCACATATATGTCCAGTGGATTTGAGGATCTACGTCTCGGAGCTTGCTTCGGACAGCCATCCGCGAAACGACGGAAAAATTGCCATTCTGTGCCTGGAAGCGGCAGAGATTAGGTGCCCACAGCATATCGGCATCAAGAGTTGAGACTTCGAATTTCCAACTCCGAACCAAAGCAACAAATCGTGCCAGGGTCTGAACCCTGGGTGTCTAGAGCTTGCTTGTCAAAACCTGGATACCCCAGATGACACAGCCCGATAAGCTTCTGAGGTCTATGTACAAAGCACGTGTAGTTGGGTTTAGCTAGTAGTAGTCGAGCCGTATGGAGCCGCCGCAAGCCCTTGCTGAAGAGCTGCGTCGATCCAACCGCTGAAACCCCCAAGCACCGACGGCGAGCTCTCACGATGTCTAGATGGTCCTTGTGGTCTTAGATGCAATGGTCGTAGGATTGCTAGAAGCAGCCTTGGCAGTAGTACTCCTCGATCATAAGCTCACAGCGAGAGCCCGGAAGAACCAAACCACGTCCCTTAAGACACAGTCCCCCGACACGAACTACTGGTAGCTAAGATCCTCTGAGACCCCGTCGAGGGCACCAGAACAAGAGAATGCGAAATGGCCTGCCTTGTCACATCCTCAACCCTAAACCCCGAACCTTAAACCCCAAACCACCAACACTCTTCTACTTCTTACTTCCTGAAACCTCCCCATATCAGACCTTTACTCAACTCAGCCTTCGAAGGCGTCGGGCAACCCTAAAACTCTGCACACCTTGGCAATCCCACGGGCTCTTCCACGACGGCGAACGGCTCGGCCTGCGGGTTTCGAGCCGGCAAACTGAGGGTGGGTTGGGGTTTAGGGTTTAGGGTTTAGGATATAGGATTTAGGGTTTAGGGTTTAGGATTTAGGATGGTTTAGGGTTAATATCAGGACGGATACAGGTTTATAAGGGTTGATCAAGGTTAAGAGTCTACAAAGGTTTATAAGGCCTCGTGAAGGTTTAGCAACTAGAAGGGCTTATCAAGGTTGGTGGACTTGTTTGTAAGGGTTTTGAAAGTTTAGACTCTATGTAAGGGAGCTGGGGGAATTTAGGCTTGAGGCTTCAGAAAACAGGAGGCGCGCAAGGCAACACTGATAACAGGACCTGGGTAGTCTTCTAAATTCGGGTCCCTTTTAGGGTCCTTCTCATAAGGGTGCCATACTACATCGGGGGCCCAAGAAGGGACCCTATTTTAAAGAACTGCCCACCAACAGCGGCAACAACAGCAACAACCAACCCACGGCAATAGCAACAGCCACCGCAAGACCACCAGCAACAACCAACCGACCGACACCCTAAACCCCTAAACCAATAAACCCCTAAACCCCTAAACCCCTATACCCCTAAACCCCTAAACCCCTAAACCCCTAAAACCCTAAAACCCTAACCAAGCCAACAACATCTCCCGACCCACCGACCCCACCGGCCGGGAGTTCAGAAGTTTCGCCTCGGCTTGAAGTTGAGGAGTCAGCATCTGACGGGCTAATGTTTGGGTTTCAAAATTAGACTAGGGCCTGTTTGGGGAGATTATACTATAGTTCCAAAAAAAAGGCACCCCCCAAAATCGTATAGATATGAGTTTAGGCCCCTATATTAGGGTCTCTAAAGCTTCGGAACTGGGACTTGGAGCCCTGTAACTCCAAACCCTGTCGCCCTGAGATCGTTCTACGAAAACAGAGTATGGCGAGAGGGCCGAATAATTCCAACAGGTTTGGAGGGCAGCTATTGCTGAATATTCACCTCCGTAGCACGAGGCTTGCCTTTAAATCAGAGGCCTCGAAAGGTGGGATGAAGGTAGGTGGGATATTCAAGAGTCCTGACATCAGGGATCCTGAATCCTACCCACCTTCATCCCACCTTCTGAGGGCTCCGATTCAAGCAGCTCCGACCCTGACGGCTGAAGCTCCTCCATGCTGCCTGCATATAATGTAGGGGCCTTAAAAATTAGAATAGGGTTTTGGGGTATAGTATACTAAAAATGTTTTAAAAAGGAACCCCCCAAACTAGTATAGGTCATTATTAAGGCCGCCACATAGGCGGGGTGGCACGGGTTGCAGCTACGGGAAAATCGTGGAATGTGCTCTGTCATCCACGGAGGTACACGGCCCTAAACCCTAAATCCCAAA